GAAAACGACCGCAATAAAAAGGCAAAAACAGGGTGTAAAACGGGATTAAAACTGGGAACAACCGGAAAAAATACCAGTAAGCGTCAAAGACGCTTGGGCCAGTACCAATTTAATCGATCCAAGATTTCTTGGATCACAGAAAATTTGACAATAGTCAAAATTACGTTTCAAGTGGTTATTCAAACACTGTTTTCCAAGTTATTTCAGCTGAAAAGCTCGATCAGTATGGCACGCCAAAAAAACGAGTTACCGCGTAGTACTCACAGAGCAACCAAGTTCAAGTTCCAGTTCAAGTTCAAGCGGGAATGGAACGATAGGATAGATCCCGTGAGTGTTCCTTCTTCGGCGGGTCGTTGAACCAGGAGTTGGCGAACTTTGAAATACTGATGGACCTAAAACAAAGACCGCATCACACCCTGTCCAACCAATTAATGCCCACGTATCCTGCCCTAGCAGCCCCTGCTGGGTCGGTTACGTGAAGTAAGAAAGAGAGAAAAGTAAACGCAGGGTTCAAAAGAGAGTGGTAAGAGCTAAGCAAGTGGAATACCAAGATATTTGCGTCAATAAAAAAGAACTGAAAAATGAAGGTGAGTCAGCTAGGAAAAAGGAAAGGTTTGCTGTTGCCACCCAAGAGCATCGAGCTGGCGCGCAAAACCCTTAACCGTAGGTTCCCTAACCACGTGATCTGGAAGAGAATTCCAGCGATCTATAACTCGGCGCGATAGACGAGTTTCCGTCCTAATCCTATCAGACCGTGGTTTATGCAGTTTCAGTGGGTGACCGCGGAGACTAGGTAACGTAGCAGGACTAAAAAGCCCTGACAAGTCCGGGCCAATCTTACCCGTCAAAATACGATAAGTGAGAATCAGGTCCCCTCTTATCCTTCGGTATTGCATGGAGTACATCCCCAAACTGAGCAAGCGTTCAGGATACGTCTGTCCCCGTAGACCCTGCACTAACCGAGTGCCCACTCGTAACACCCTCTCCAAGTCCATTTTGTCTCGGTTAAGACATGGTGGACAAGCCTGAATACAATATTCCAGGTGGGGTCGGACGAATGCCGAAAATAGCTTCACAAACAACTTGGCCGTTAAGATTCCGAAAGAGCGGCGGATAAACCACATCATACGAAACCCTCGACAAGCAGCCTTCTTCCAGTTGTCTCCAGAATGAAGTGCTGATGTGTGTACAACTTCTAAATCAACCTGCTGAGTGACAACAGGGAGTTCACCACCGCCGAGAACATATCGGGTGGGAGGATTAGCAGCTCCGATTCGGAGAATAGAGCACTTCGCCCTATTTATGGGCATCAACCATAAGATAGAACATTCCCAGAGTCTATCCAAGGCACGCTGAATTGCCT